ACGATATATATATATATATATATATATATATATATATATATGTATGTATCCTTATACATATTCTCTCTACACAGGGGGTTCAACAACAATCATCAACAATAACAACAATAACAACTACAACAAAAACAGTAGCAGTTACAAAAACAGTAATATTAACAACGGCGACAAAAACAATGATAAACAAACACCATCATTATCATCAATAACAACAGCAGCAGCATGCAGCGACAACAAACACGTTAACTCGCGCAATCTGTCCGCTCATTCACCGCGAACGGTAATTTCAACAGTATTGTGTTGATATTATAGCCGTCAAACTAGTAACACGAAGAAGCACAATAGTGTCGCTCACCTGATATTTCGGCATCATCGTCATCGTCTCCGAGCCACTGCGCCGACACGGCCCGTCCCAGCAGCACGATCGCGAACAGCAGCGCCAGCACTTTGAAGCGTAACGTCATGCCGACGAACCTGCGAGGAAAAGCTTCGGCTTCACTCACCCACGTCGCACGCATGTTTTCCTTCTACAATAGCAGCAGCCCCTACTCGCGCTCTCGCTCTATACTATCCGTGTGTGTGCGGTGTGTGGGCGAGAGAAAGAACGAGAGAGATAGAGGCGCGTGCGCGTGTTATCGGAGGCAAGCAGACGGAGCTCAGTGGGCAGCAGTCACTGACAGCTATAGCGCGAGGTTCGACTACGTCTTTTATCACAGAGACGTCGCGTACGGCCCGCCTGGTTTTATACTCGACAGCCAGTCGATCCGTTCTGCATTCAACGATAAATCAGCTCGCCCCGTGCGCCTCGTCTGCCCATCTCGTTAATTGCGAAACCTTTCGCGTGCGCATGCGTGTGCAAGATAAACCCGTCTGTCGTCCCAAGGTGTATTCATAAGAAGTCGACACGTAGGTTGCGATTTCGTGCGACCGAGGTTAATTACTGGGAAGCACAGCAGTTCGCAAGCAACACTGTCGTGAATAGGAAACGCAAATGAGAGTACGTGGTCGTCAGGTGTCGTGTTTGGGGGTTGATTGCACATGCATCTGGTAACGCTGTGACAGTCGGCCCTGCGGTGGGAAGGACTCTCGCTCTCTCTCTCTCTCTCTCTCTCTCTCTCTCTCTCTCTCTCTCTCT